TAAGTGAGTTTTACACACATCACTTACCCTAGGGTAAACTCCGACCCACAAACTAACGTAGAACATTCAACCCATATACCACAACCTATGTTGTCCACATCCACCCTCGCAGTAGATTGCCTTATGCATGCAAATTATACACATAATAAGATCTAATAAACTATCGAATAATAGACTTTACACTAAGACCATAGGAAATAAGGTCAAATAAGCTATTCTATGTATTCTACCAGAATATATTAAGTGATAGTTAATTGTAAGTAACATGTTTTTAACAATTATTAGTTTTTGTTGTGTTTGTGATAGGAATGGTTGGAAGAAGGCGTTGAAGACCTTGCTATTCTTTTAGAATATGTATAATTATATTAAAATGTATAAAGATTTTAGTCTGTAAGAATATGTATGAAATTGTATTTAAGTTCGGATGTATAAGAATATATTAGAATGTTTGTTATTTTTCAACATCTGATTCAAAAATTTTGTTTTTCTTCAATAATATTTTATTAGAATAAAATTCTGAAAGAGCATCATTCTAACAAAATAATATTTTATTAGAATAAAATTCTGAAAGAGCATCATTATAACAAAAAATATTCTAACATAATAAAATCAGTAAAAAATTGAAATTGAACTAATTAAAAAATTCAGATTTTTTTTAAATTAGGAGAATTAATCATCCCTAAAAATCCGAAAATTTCCTTTTATAAATGTAGTTAATTGTCCAAAATACCCTTTTGCGTAAAATTGTGTGATTATATGCTACATGTTACCCCATTGTAATATCATACACCCTCAAATCATGACCATTGATTAATTTCATCCATTGGTCCAGATCTGTTGTAACAGCCCGGATCCCCAGGTATCTTCATTTCATATATTTTTGACATTCTGTGAGGGGACTCGGCGAGTTGGAGGTCGAACTCGCCGAGTCGGGTCGCGGTTTTAGGCGGGGGTTTGCGTCCGGACTCGGCGAGTCCAAGGGGGGGGGGGACTCGGCGAGTCCGCGCTGTTTAATGAAACCCTAATTTCCCGGTCCTAAGCCCTATTTAAAGGACCTTATGGCCCTCATTTGCGGCCACCTTGAACCCTAAGAGCCTCCATACGTCTGTAAGCCCTTGTGAGTGTGTTTGGAGGCCATTTGTTCATCATTTTGTGTGATATTGCAAGGAAAGGAGGGAGAGGAGCAAGCTTGAAGTGTTGGGGAGCTTAGATCTGTTGCTATTTCTTCAAGGGAGTCTTCTTGAGGAGGATTGCAGCTTGAGGGTTCGAGCGCGGGCGATTTCAGGATTTACGATTAGCGACTTAGCGAGGCATACGAGGTGAGTCTGCTCACTATATTGTACCCGGAAGGGTTTTGACTGTATGACCGGAAGGTCGAATATGATATGGGATATATGCCTTATGTGTGTTAAGTTATATGTTATATGTGTCATGTATGATATGTTTGATTTGGGCCGGAAGGCAACTTGATATGGGCCGGAAGGCGTGGTCATATGGACTGTAAGGTTGACGTGGGTAGGACCGGAAGGTTTACTCAGCCGGGACGGAAGTCCCCTGAGACACATGGACCGGAAGGTCAAGGCCTGGAAAGGCGTATGTGTGTAGGTTGTATTTTGGGGAACTCACTAAGCTTTATGCTTACAGTTGTTGTATTATGTGTTTCAGGTACTAGTGAGGACCGTGGGAAGGCGTCAGCGTGACCGTACACACACTCGGGGAAACTATTTTGTTATCTTTTGTTATGTAATCAGTTGTGACTACATTGTTACCTTAGAATCTAAACTTATTACTCGTGTTTTGATGATTGTAAAAATGAAAATTTTTGGTTGGAATTTTATGATGTTACATCTGTGCATTTTGGCACACAATACTTAGTAAAAACAAAATAACCTAAGCCTATATATATATATATATATATATATATATATATATATATATATAAACACAAAAAATATATAATATTAAGTTAACACTTAAGTATTTAACAATTAACACAACAATAGTATCAGTTAAGACTTAAAACCATGACTCTCTGACTTAAAACTAACAATTAAGTACTTAACATACTAGTAGATTCAGTTAAGTTAAGACCATAAAACTTAAGACAATGACTTTACACTAATAGAAGTACGTAAAATTACTTAACTGATATCCCACGTGGAAATCACCTAAAAATATAGGTAAATATCGGTAAATACTGATTTTTGTGGTTCTTATATTTTGGACCGATATTTGACACCGCTATTTTGAAAGTTACTGATAACCGACATCCCACCTACCTGGAAATTGTCGATATTAACTACTTTGGATGGAGCACACTCTAATTTAACAACCAAAAATTAACTCTCTCTCTCTCTCTCTATTATGTTTTTGTTATAAATCATGATAAGGATTTGTTATGAAGATGGTCAATTGATTTCTATAAGGCTAAATGGAGTGGGTATACAAACCCACGTGTGGAGATGATGTGTCCAGCCAAAGGACGCATGCCGGTGGGTTGGGTGTGACGTAGGTGCAAAAACAGACAAAGACGAGCATTGTGATTGGTTCCCTCATTTTTTTTATCGTTGCCACCTCTTTTGACCCTTGCATTATTTAAAAAAAAATCTATTCAATTTTTAATTTAATCTCTCTCTATGTATACATACATTCTATATATTTTTTTTAACCTCAAAACAAACACACTCTTTCAAAACAAAAACACACTTTAAAAAAATGGATAATTTTTTCGATTCAATTTCTTTTTCATCTGGGGATGATGATTCTCATGACAAGTTGGTTTTGCACACACTGATGTCCACGACACAAGATATGGTCCGTGAGAGAGGCGAAAGTTCAAATGCCGAGAAGAAGCATAGAAAATGGATCAATTGGGATCGTATCGCGACAAACGAACCTTTGGTACGTGATTATTTTGCACGTGATAGTTTATATGATCTAGCAAAATTCGAAGAACGTCTTCGTATTAGAGAAAATTACTCTTATGTATAGCTAGAGATGTGGAAAGTAATTATGACTATTTTTAATTGAGATAGGATGCTAGAGGGAAACATGGTTTTACTACAATACAAAAATATATGGCCGCTCTTAGACAATTAATATACGGCATAGCCGTAGAAGCATCAAATGAGCATTTGAAAATGTCTGAGAGGACGGGTCGAGAATGTACATATATTTTTGTGAGTATGTTATAGAGCTTTACCGTGACATATACTTGCGACATTCGACTAAAAGTGATGTCGAACAGTTGTATGTCGTGCATCAAGCTAAACATGGTTTTGCAAGGATACTTGGTAGCATTGATTGTACACATTGGGTGTGAGGAAATTGTCCCAACGCGTGGCATGGTCAAGTCACGGGAGCTGCTCATGGGGTCAAATAATGACCTGAATATGCTTGGAGCATCTTTGTTATTTAACAATATTTGCAGGGTATAGCACCACACATGTCATACGTTGTGAATGGAAATGAATATAAGTATGCGTATTACCTAAGTGATGGCATATATCTAATGTATGTTACAATTGTCAAGTTATACACATATCCGACCGATGAAAAATGAAAATTGTTCAAGTTAGCATATGAATCAACGAGCAAGGATGTGGAACGAACATTTTGAGTCCTCAAACAAGAGTGGCACATAATCAAACATCCGGTACGAACATGAGATAGGGAAAAATTGACGACGGTGTTGGCTGCTTGTGCTATCTTACATAACATGATAACAAAAGAAGAGGGTAGTGCTATTTGTATGCATACCGCGAATAATACACTTAATCCACCTACAGTTGGTAGCCTGACATATTTCACAAGGGTTTGGAAATACAAAATCATGAAACACATCACAATCTACGTCACGATTTGACGAGCACATATTGAAAAGACAATTCCAAGGGAAAAATGACAAAGGTGATGAGGAGGATGAGGACGGTGACGAGTAGCATTTTTTATGTTTTAAATATTTATGTTTTCTAAGTAATGTAATGTTTTATTTGATATGTTTTATGTTTTTTTTAGTAATTTAGGCTGTAAATTATTATTTATTTAATTAATGAAATGTGGTTTTAGATTTCTATGTTTTTAAAATATTTATTTATGTTTTAAATTATGATGTTTATTTTGTTTAATGTTAAAAAAATAAAAAAAATAAATATTGTGGAGTGGTAACCATTTCCAGTGTCTAGTGCTTTGGCGGTGGATTTGTAATGGAATTGATGCGGTGTTGAGTTGACAACGTTTTTTGAGTGGCTTGTGTGTGACCACTTTCTAGAGTATTGCAAGAGTGAAAAGGTATCTTTAAGTGGTTTGCTTCTTAATTTATTAATTACACATCATTGATTACTTTTTTATATAATGGCCACAATTGCAGCAAAATATTCCCGACATTATGTGGGCCGTCTCATGTAGTTGCTTTACCCCTTTTTTACTTTTCCGTATATAACAAGAACCTTTCTTGACATTGAGTTGATGTTTGTGTCAAAAGCATTATGAATTATGATCCATTAAGATTTTTTTTTCCTTACTGGCATCCTATTCTACTTGCTTTTGAAAAACTCCAATGTCAATTTCTTGTTAATAGTGTGATGGGAATGGTATGTTAAGTGACTACAAGAATCAAAATAGTATGTACCATCATTTTTATAACCACTAACACGTACCAACCAACATCAACAAAACATTTGAAATCCACATCAAATGTAAGTGTTTGTAAACCATTCTGCTTTGTCTCTTGATATTTTAGTCAGAATGATATACTAAACTACGTTAAGACATGCCATTTTAATTGTATTCACATCTTATAATGATCACTAATGTCATCATAATCATGCGATGTCCACAAATAAATAAGGGGATGACTAGTAAAAAAGCTAGAGTTATCCGTTGTTATAACGGGTAGATTTTCAAAGACAATACCCTTTTAATAAATAATATGGAAGTACAATGCTGTAAGAAGAAGAAACAAAACTAAAATGCTATAATAAAAAATAAAATAGAAAGCTCATTGTTATTTCTTGCATTTAGCCCATAACCGAAGAAATTGACAGAAGTATGCTACGAACTGATATCTCAATAAACTCAACAAACAAGAATGTAGCCTCTGTATTGAATTAAAACACACAAAAGCTTCTCTGTATTGAATTAAAACACTAAAAACAACACAAGAATAACAAAAATAAACCTAATGATTTGCTAGAGATTCGAGAGCCTAGCCTCTGCCAAAGCTTCTAAAACCAAAATTTGACTTTCACCCTCTTTCCCACTATCCTCTAATAATACTCTAGCATAACAAACTAAACAAGTAAAATACCTAAATTACCCCTCTAATACTTAGATTCTCCTTATTTACTGATTTTCCCAAAATACCCATATCTCAAGTAGATGCCTAAGGTGGATGGGTAGCAATACCCCATCCCCAAAGATTCACCTTGTCCTCAAGGTGGATAGAGATGCTGTATAGCATCCGGATTCTTCCAGGTGACTCCACTGCATATGATGTGAGGGACATCTTCGCCACATATGACACATACCCCAAATAAGATATCACCATCTTCATGGGTTCAGTATCATCAACCTCCATCAATTCCTCAGACCCACGAAGTAAGTTTTGAGGATCAATTATTAAAATAGCACAATCTCCACTTGCTTCAATGTAATAAGCTCCAAAAAGGGTATACGCAAGAACCTTGCCACTGATTGTGAAAGGTGTTCCCCGGATTTCAAAATGCATCACGAATTCTCTATATTATTTTTGACCAATGAGCTTTGTCCAAAACACAACTTAGTTCAAACCAGGGCCCCTCCACACCAACCACATGCCATAGAATTAAACTCAGAGAAAACCGACTTACCTGATTATCGTGATGCACTGAAGAATTAAACTCCTGCATATTCTGAGTTCGAGCCATAACACCATCGGCCTTACACAAAGATTATTTATGACCCCCTGCTGAAATTTCTCTGAGTATTGAAAGATTCTGACCATTGGTCGTTGTAATTCAGAATCTTTCAATACTCGAGGAATTTCAGCAGGGGGTCATAAATAATATTTGTATTTTCAGCAGGAAGTCATAAATACTCTTTCAATACTCGAGAAAACTGGCTGAGTAGACCTTGAAGATTCCCCCTCACCCTACAAATGAAGGAAAAATAAGAAAATTTTAAGTTAAATATTATACAGGATACAAAACAAAATGCTATGAAAACAGATAGTTACTTGGAAGTCGTATGTATTACGTTACATTTTCTTTATTAAACAGAATTAATGACTTCCTGATGCATCACGTCCAAACTTTTGAGGCAATTTATGCATTGTCAACATGATGTTTGGTCCTATCCTAAGAAGGCATATATCAACAAGATTCCTTAAAATCAAGCAATATGCTTAAACAATTTCATATTGTTTTCCAAATTGCAATAGTTTGTTTCTAACAAATTTTTTTACCCAACAACATCTACTGAACATGATGAATCTATGAATTGGTCTCAAGTGTATATCACACGTGACAAGTACAGGGAATTGTGAGAATTTGATTTGGTGTTTAGACATGGTATGAAGAGAAATTCATAACCGTATTCAATGATTGCAAATTTTAAAATTGCCATTTTCAAGCACTCATTGCAAGGTTATAACTCATCTTATTTTGTTGCATCCTAAACCAATTGAGAACTTTCATTCCTAGTATATTCGGTTGTGTATGCCTTTTGTTCATGCGAAGAGAGAAAAGGTTTGGGTGTCAAAAAGTATACCTCATGTGCGCCACCAATTATGCCAGGCTTCCTTGGGGATAAAGCTCTGAACCACAATTCTTTTTGTGCTGAAAACAAATAAAAAGTTATGTGTTAATCATTATTCACAAACAATCCAGTTCGACAAAGTAGTGCATATATATTTATGTGATCCAACATATCAAAAGGCTTAAACAACTGTATGTACTGATAAGCTCCCACACAGAGTAAAGAGAATAAGCAGGAAATTCACAACCAGAAACAAGTAACTGATAATGAATGATATATATATAATAGGGTTTTCCCATTCTTTCAAGAGGAAGGGACTCTGCAATAGTTTGGCTACTAGAATTTTCTTAGCTAACAATCTTCTAGAAAATGAAAAGCTGAAATACTCCTCAGGGTAGGGTAAAATGGATGCCAGCACACCATAGCAAACCAAAAATAAAGATAGTGCTTCACCCATAACAGAATTCTATTAAGACATAAAAGAAATATAAAACTCTCTTAATTGCAGCCAAACAAGAATGATAAGGACTGGACTTGATCCCAACTAATTTGATGGGCTTCCTGGACCTCCTGTTGTAGACTACACGAATCAATGCTTGGGTCTATTCATTTTATAAATTAAAAGTATAACTTTTATTTTTCATATTATTATAAAAACAAAATCTTAGCTTATGGGTCAATAGAATCAATAATATATATGATCCATTTGTGTAAAAGATTTAAGTTATGATCTATATATGTATTAAAATAAATGGGTCATTATCCATCTATTTAAAGAAAGTGGGTGATGGGTGAGGTAGGTCATTATACGTAAGACATGACAATAAAATATATTTAACAAAAAATCACATCCACCTTGAAAGTCGGGGCCATCTGGAACGAATTTACGATGATATGGAAACAAATGAATGCCAGACACAAAAAATCGCAAGTGGTTTAGGATGTATTGTCCTGTTGTGGTTTGAAAAGGGGAGAGATCTCCACCAATTATGTGATTCCATGACTTGTAATAACCCAACACATCTTCTTCTTCTTCTTCTCCATCATCATACACAAGACTCACCCCACACTCCTTTACATGTTCATCATGTGGCAGCGTAACAGTAATAGTAACATGGTCACCAACCTCCATCTCATTCATCCCAAACATCCAATGACTTAACACCACCCAACACCTTCCACCTACACAATATCTGTCCGTGTAACGTTCGTATATCCACATGCGGTTCTTTGTTATATTACTAATTGTCATCATTGGCCATAGAGGGAACTGACCATATGGAACTGGAAAACAATCATCGGGAGGTTTCAGTGTGTCAGCAGAGAAGCAGAAGTTGAGTCTTGTAAGGAGGTTGTATGGAGATGATGATGATGGGATGGTAAATGATATTGATGGCCCCACGCTTCTATGCCTAAACCAACTCGGCATCTCCTCCCCCTCATACTTTGTGCTGAATATTCCAAATTCATAATACATCGTCTACCAAATACAAACCACCTTAATTAATCACCATAAGATGTATATTATACATATTCACAAAGAGACAAACAATTAACTAAAAAAAACCTGGGTTCCAAATTCCCGAGAATTAGCTCCCAAATGCCTTTCGTTAAGGAAGTCTAAATTACTCCAGCCCAAGCTACGTAATACCTTTTCCTCAACACATACCATTGGTTGGATTTTGATTATGCCTTCAAATTCATATGAGAAAGCTGCCGAAGCCACCCGCCTTGGTGATAACTCTAGTGGGGACATCTCTGGATCAAATACGACTTTTCCTTGAAGATCCCCATTAACAGAAAAGAGCAACCTGCTTAGTGTACGTGGAGGATTCTCAACTGACTTTAATTTTTTACAATTCTCCATACTAAGTATCTCGAGCCTAGGAAGGGTTCTCACACAACTGGGCATGGAATTTATTGGATTGCCATCTAAATATAATTCCTTTAACATGGATAGGCAACTCCAGTCCATGGGAAAGGATTTAGTGGACAAATTACTATTTGCAAGTGACAAACTTACTAGAGAACTCGGTAAAGAACTTGCAAACAACTTCAAATCACTTGGTATGGCACCCACAAAGGCAGGGGAAGAGGTTCTTGTATTTATGTCAATGTTGTTAGCCTTGCCCAATTCTAGTGAATCCGTATCCCTAATCTGGATTTGAGATTCACCAAGACTACAACCATCTAGCAACATTTTTTGAACATTCTTCAACATGCCTATGTTTCTTGGAAGTCTTTCAAGCTTCTTGCAGTAGCTCAAATCGATGAAGACAAGGTCAACACATTGCTCAATTGATTCACAAACCTCAACCAAACCAATGCAATTTCTAACTATTAACCTCTCAAGTGCAGGAAGTTGGTCAAATTCACCAAGACTATGAAGTTGTTTACAGAAACTTAAATTAAGAATCTTCAGTGATCCTAGCAACCTTTTCTCTTTTAAGCACGATCCATCCAACTGCAAAGATGGAGATAAATTAGAATAGCAGTGAAATTCATCAACTCAACATGAAAGAATGATAATGAAATAAGTTACCTTTTTCCACGTCTCAAGTCGTTGTGGATTACTATATAACAACAGCAACATTAGCCCGATCCCATACAAATGGGATAAGGGGGAGGTAGGATGGTTAGCAGCCCCCAACATAGTGTTGAGAAACTGCTTTCGTAGGAGACCATCGGCAAAGAGGAAATAAAAAAGCCAATACAAAAAAATACAAAAAAGTAAATTTTTTGAAACAGCGGCCACATTAAAGCGTTGTGGATTACTATAACAACCGACAAAAGACTTGATATTGCTGTATGACAGGTCAAGAGCAACAAGATTTTGTATAGGTAAGTTTAAAGGTAAATACTGTAAAGGGTACCCATGCATACACAACCATCTTATTTTTTTTGGAAAGTTCTCATAAGACCCATTCATATGCACATAACTGAGTTGTAGTAGCCTCAACTTATCCATGTTGTTGAATGCATCTGTTTTCAACTCAAATGATGCACACAACTTCTCCTTCTCAAGCATCCGCATGTCAAGGGAAAGGCCTACAAGATTTCCCTTACACTAAGAAAAAACCAATGGCAAAAAATAAAAATTTGATAGTACAAAGTAGTTTGAAACATGCACACTACTGACAAGTATACACAGACTCTTACCTTTTTTTGTCTCAACACTCTGAATGACTCCTTATGACACCATAATCGACTTCGCTTCCATGGCTTGTCAAGTGATTCTTGACGTACTTCGAATCTTCCCATCTCCTGAACCAACTGATGCATCTTCAATTCGTTATTAAATCCAATACTAAGGAGACATCTATCAATGAGATTCGTGATCCCAGATCTTGTGTTTATATCACATGCCTCTAATATTGTTTCAGCAAGATCTCTATCTGTTCCAACAAAAAAACAAGCAATATGCTTAAACAACTCCTTATCATTTTTGGATGGCAAGGAGTCTAAGCTCATTTTCAAGACATTATTTATAGGGGAACTAATTTCATTCTTTAACCCTTCGATGCACCCTTCCCAATAAGCTACATCTCGATTATGCAAAGACTTTCCCAAAACTTCAAGAGCCAATGGGTGTCCTTCACAATACTTAACCAGCTTATCAGACACCTCTTCATATCCCACCTTGGGTTGGTAGGACATGAATGCATGGGAACACAAAAGTTGTTGCGATGCTATAACAGCTAAGCCTCGAAGTAAATGCCTTTCATGCTTGGGTTTAATGTTTGTTTTGAATAAAGAACAACTCTCAGTCAACCAACTGTCCTTTGTTGTAATTATAATTTTGCTTCCAGGATGAATGCCTTTGCTTCCAAGTAATGCATCCAACTGAACAAGAGTACTGATATCATCAAGAACTAGAAACACCCTTTTACGGGCTAGTGCATTCTCTATCTTTGCGGTGTATGCCGAAACATCATGAACTTTAATTGAACTTGTTTTTAAAATGTCATTGCAGAGTTGTTCTTGTAAATCAAGTAACCCATTAAACTTCCCATCACATTTCCTAGTGATATCTTCGATATAGCTACTTGTGTGGAATTCATGAGAATATAGCCCATAGACATGCTTAGCTAAAGATGTCTTCCCGATCCCACCTATACCATAAATAGTAAGTATGTCTGCCGTATGTGATGATCCATCTTTCAACCATGAAGTTACAAAGTTAATATGATTTTTCATCCCAATAAGTTGTGGTCCAACGCTCCTTAAGTGTACATGTAATCTACGGTGGATGTCCTTCACAACTTCTTCAATAAACTCGGTCTCTAACCTGAAACTTGATTATATAAGAACTTCAAAACACAATCTACAAAACTAATGAGATTTAATTTATTCAAAGATCCAAACTAAGATTATATCATAGCTGCTATTATTAATTGAGTTCTCACATCAAAAACATATTGTGGTTTGCATCAATATGGACAAAATGCCATGGAATACAAGATTTCGGTAATAGGCCACCAAACTTCACTATGTTTCTACATGACCATCAAACTCAACCATTGATGTGGTTTTACATGGATTTGAACAAAATGCCATGAAATAGTTATAGGTTATCTTTTACTACATACAACTAAATGCAGGTATTTATCATAAAAGCCACTATGATTTGAAGGGAGTATGGTATAATTAAAACTACATGCATCGGAAACCCATCAAACTTTGGTTTTTAAATAAAAAGCATGTAAAAATCGTGGAGAAGGTTTATTTAAATGCACAAACTTATGATAAAAACAAACATATAAAAATTATCAGAATGCCTAATCCATCTATATGAACTGATTTAGAAAAACTTATTGAAAGGCATAGGGAGATGAATAAGGGTAAGAAAGTGGTCACCTGCCATTTACGTCATTCCCTTTTAAATCAGCAGCTTGAGTAAGCGCTTTATTCCATCGGTCCATCTTTTGAGCCCATTGACTTCTTTTATTTGCATTTGTCTCGGCCTCCATCATGTGTCTATGCTTAGCCATTGCATCTCCAAAGCTACTTTGTTGCTTCCTAACATGTGTGGGCTCCACATGATAGAATATTGGGATAACGATATGGTTGGATGTCATACGCTGCTCAAGGATCAACACCAATTCATCCAGGCACCATGTTGAAAAAGCGTAATTTTTAGACAACACTATAATAGAAGCCTGGGATGCCTTAATTGCACTCTCCAGTTCTGGTTTCAGATCTTCCCCAGTTTCAATCTCTTCATCATCCAAGAAGGTATTGATATTGGCATGAATGAGGGCCTTATGAAGGTGATCAGTGAAACTATGACGAGTGTCAACACCTCTAAAACTTAAAAATACATCATATCTATGATTATGAGTTGATGAGTTATGAACATGAGTTGATGAAGTAGGAACATGAGAAGATGCAGATCCTTCTGGAAGTTCAGATAGAATCACCATACTAAATTATGGGTTATTAGTTATGAAAGTTGGTTTCACCGGCTTTCTTCACTTGTGCTTTAATGTTAGGACCCGTACAACATGCCTCTGCATAATAGCAAATTATTGATTACAATATGCAACTTAAATCTCATCTGCTAATAGCAAAGTGCAAAAGTGTTGATATAAAATAAAAATTACATTGCCATGTGAGTTATTTATAAAGTAGCTGCTCACATAACTGAATTGAGTTTTTTTTTTTTTTTTTTTTTTTTTTTTTTTTTTTTTTTTTTTTTTTTTTTTTCTAAGTTGGTGTGCAGGTAAATATCTAACAATTTGTTCATTTGTTGTACATCTCTCTTTTGTTTTGGTAAACCCACATAAGTATATCCCTATTGTTGTATAAATAAAATCCATCTAAAGTTCATTTACATATTAAACAAATCAACACCAAGTTCACTTACACAAATCTACACAGACAAATTCCTAAATAATTGGTAGTGTAAATTTACCCTTTCGTAAGGTAAATATATGCTTTGAATCTTTTTGTCAACTAATGCTTCAAGGCCCCGTTTGTTATGAAAGACAGGAGATGATAGAACAAGTTGTACTGCTTGGGACAAAATTGCAATTTTTGATCTCTTGATCTCTCATCTATGAAAAAGACGTAAATGCCCTCCTGACCCTCATAACTGAAATGCCCTTGAAAGTATGTCTAGCATGACAAATGCAGCCTAAAAGTTAGATCGTGTAGCCTTCTGTGTAACTATATCAATTTGTTGGTTCTTTTAGTAGGTGAAATAAAGCCACTTTACCAAAAAAGAAAAAAGATATACAGCCAAGAAAAATGTCAAACAGAGACTCCTTTGTTTCATGAGAAGAGTGGCAATGGAGATAGTCTTGGTAAGTTTCCTCTCTCATGTAACTCATTTACATTATGGATGTCTTACAATCTTGCTTCAAAAAAGAATCAAATGTAAAAATTGCGTTTATGAATTCAAATATAAAGTGATTAAGGAAGCAATTTTCGAGAATCCGAGAATTTCCCAGACTGCGTGAGCAAAGTTTTGTTTATCATTCTGGACTTCAAGCAAGAACGCGCTCGACTGTAACTGATAAGTAAACTAAACAAAAGTAGCTGAAATAAACAAAATTTTAATCACCTGTTTATGAAAATTCAAATGATTATGATGTGATCTGTGATTGATAACTGAAATTGTTAGACAAGCAAAAGTAGCTTGTAAGGATGAGCAGAGTTTACATAAACCTGAAACGGCGATAACAGAGGAAAAATCAACAGAGACAAAGGCCAAGAAAGATGAGCACTAAATCAACAGGAAACGGTTAGTCAACGATGAACGAAGGGAGATGGCGAGAGTATAAACAAACAACGAAAATGTTCGGGTTTTCTTTTGCGTTGGGATCGGAGACTTTCAGGTTTTTTCAAAAAAAGAAGACATCGAGAGAGTATACACAAACAGGGTTTTGCATATTTTGATTTTTTTTTTTAATAATTTTATTCTGGGAGACTAAATTACAAATAAGGTCTTGCGGTTTAGTGAAATTTTTACTTTTAGACCAAATTTCAAAAACGATACAACACCAGTTCGTATGGTCTCATTTTCTTACATATATAGTCCTTTTTACCAAAACCATTAAACTTTTCATTTAAGTTCAGCAATAAAAAAGACTTTTTTGACCTTTTTGTCATGTATCCTTTTTTTCTCTATCATATGTGAACACCCAACACCGTCCTACTTACCTACCGACCACCACAATTTACTACTACTGGTAGCCGATGTAGTTAGTTGGTAGGGGTAGCACATGCTACCCCTCAATATCTCCCCAGAAGTTACCAAAAAAAAAAAAAAAATTGGATTTTATATCTTTGATCTAATGTGCACTTGGTACAACTCAAATTAAAGTCATACTATTGGCTAAATCAATATCTCCCCAGAAGTTACAAAAAAAAAGGATTTTATATCTTTGATCTAATATGCACATGGTGCAACTCCAATTAAACGTCCCACTATTGGCTAAATAAAAAATCCAAATAAATAGCCCATTGCATGAATCAATTAGCTAAGAGAAATTAAATTGCCTCCTACCTTTGGGTAGGAACTCCACCAATTATGTTTTTCCATGACTTGTAATAACCGAATGCATCTTCTTCTCTGTCATTATACACAAGACTCACCCCACATTCCTTTACAAGTTCATTATATGGTGATGTAATGGTAATCATAACATGATCACCAGCCTCCATCTCGTTCATCCCAAACATCCAGTGACTTAACACCACCACACACTTTGGATCTACACAATATCTGTTCGTGTAACGTTTGTATATCCACATGCAGTTCTTTGTTATATTACTACTTGTCGTCATTGGGAGGTTTCAAGGTGTGCATAAAGAAGAAGTTGAGTCCAGTAAGGTTGTTTGGAGATGATGATGATGATGGGATGGTAAATGATATTGATTGCCCCAAGCTTCTATACTTAAACCATCACGACATCTCGTCCACCTCATACTTTGTGATGAATATTCTAAATTTATAAGATATTCTCTGCAAAATACGACCACCTTAATTAAATACACATACATAACAATTATATTATACATATTCACATAACTACTGACAGTTAACTAACTGAACAAAACTTAGATTTTAAATTCCAAAGGATTAGTTCCCACACACCCTTTGTTAAGGAAGTCTACATTAATCCAACCCAAGCTATGTAATACATTTTCCTCAACACCCACCATTGCTTGGATTTTGATCATGCCTTCGATTTCACAGGACCAGGTGTGAAATCTAACCACCAGTTTGATGATAACTCTAGTGGGGACATTTCCGGATCAAATACAACATTCTTTACAAAACTCCCATGACGAGAAAAGAGGAACAACCTGCTTAGTGTATGTGGAGGATGCTCAACTGACTTCAATTTCTTACGATTCACGATACTAAGAATCTCAAGCCTAGAAAGGTTTCTCATGCAGCTAATCATGGAAATTATAGGATTTTAATTCAAATATAATTCATTTAACATGGATAGGCAATTAAAGTCCATGGGAAAGAATTCAGTGGACAAATTATTAATTATCAGTGACAACCTTACTAGAGACCTCAGTAAAGAAATTGTAAACAACTTCAAATCACTTGTAGTAGCATTCATAAAGGAGGAGGAAGAGTTTCTTATCAGTGACAACCTTACTAGAGACCTCAGTAAAGAAATTGTAAACAACTTCAAATCACTTGGAATAGCATTCATAAAGGAGGAGGAAGAGTTTCTTATGTTTATGACCATATCCCTATCCTCGACTTGAGAATCATTGAGCTTACAACCATCAAGCAATAGTGTTTTAACATTCTTCAACATGCCTACATTTTTAGGAAAAATTTTAAGCTTCTTGCAATAACTCAGATTAATGAAGACAAGTTCAATACATTGCTCAATTGATTCACCAACCTCAACCAAACCAATGCAATTGCTAACTATTAACATCTCGAGTGTAGGGAGTTGCCAAAGTCACCAAGACTACGAATTTGTTTACACAAACTTAAATTAAGAATCTTAAATGTTCTAAGAAGCTTTTTTTCTTTTAAGTACGATCATCCAACTGCAAAAAATAGAAATAAGTTATAACAGTTTTGAATTTCATCAACTCAACATTAATGAATAATGAATGAAGATAATTTACCTTTTGCCTCTTCTCAAGTCGTTGTGTATTACTATAACAACCAACAAATGATTCAATATAGCTATATGATATGTCAAGAGCAACCAAATTCATCATTGGTAAGTCTAAAGGTATAGACTTTAAACAAAACTCATACATAGACAAGCCTATTAATTCATCCGGAAAGTTCTCATAAGACCCTTTCATATGCACATAATTGAGTTAAAGTAGCATCAAACTATCCATGTTACTCAATGCATCCGTTTTTACCTCAAATGATGCTCCGAACTTCTCTTTGTCAAGCATGTGCATGTCAAGGGAAAGTCCTAGAACATTTCCCTTACCCTAAGGAGAAACAGAAGGCCAAAAATAAAAATAATATAATACAAAGTAATCTGAATATGCATACTACCAACAAGTATACATAATCTCTCACCTTTTTTTTTGTTTCAACACTCTGAATGACTCCTTATGAGACCATATTCGACTTCGCTTCCATGGCTTGTCAAGTGATTCTTGATGTACTTCAACTCTTCCCATCTCTTGAACCAACTGATGCATCTTCAATTCACTATTCGATCCTATACTAAGAAGATACATGTCAATGGGATTCGTGATTCGAGATCTTGTGATTATACCACATGCCTTTAATATTGTTTCACTAACATCTTTTTCTATTTTAGCAAAAAAAAAAAACAAGCAATATGCTTAAACAACTCCTTATCATTGTTCGATGGCAAAGAATCAAAGCTCATTCTCAAGACATTAATTATATGGGAACTTGTTTCTTTCTTTAGCCTTTCTATGCACCCTTCTCAATAAGCTACACTTCTATTATATAGAGACTTGCCCAAAACTAGAAGATCCAATGGATTTCCTTAACAATATTTCACAAGCTTATATGACACCTCTTCATAACCTTCCTTGGGATAGTTGCACATGAATGCATGAAAACACATAAGTTGTAGTGTTGGATCTCATTTAAGCTAAGAAGCATACGCCTTTCATGCTTGGGTCTATTGTTTGCTTTGAATAGTGCACAACTCTCGGTCAACCATTTATCTTGTGTTGTTATTATACTTTTGCTTCCAGGATGAAAACCTTTGCTTCCATGTAATGCATCCAACTGATCAAGAGTTATGATATAATCAAGGACTATAAAGAACCTTTTACGGGCTAGTGCATTCTCTATCTTTGTGGTGTATATTGCCACATCATGAAATCTAATTGAACTTGTTTTTGAAATGTCATTACAAAGCTATTCTTGTAATTCAAGCAACCATTAAACTTTCCATCACATTTCCTTGTGAATAAAGCTACTTTTATGGAATTCATGAGAATATAACCCATAGACACGTTTGGCTAAAGATGTCTTCCCGATCCCACTCATACCCAAAGTAGTTAGTATGACTGCAGTATGTGAGGACCCATATTTCAACCATGAAGTAACAAAGTGAATATTATATTCCATCCCAATAAGTAATGGTTGAGCAATCCTTAAGGTTACATGTAATCTACGGTGGATGTCCTTCACGATTTCTTTAATGAACTTTGTCTCTAGCCTGAAATTTAACAAACCAGATTCACAGATTTTAATATATCTAAAGATCAAATGAAATAACCATAAAAAATGTAAGGTGATAATATTTATGTATGATACGACTGAAGCTACCATTGTGTTACAATATTTCACATATTGGCCACCTTTATGTACTATGTTACTACATGACCATCAAACTTAACTAACAATTTGGCTAGAAAAAAATAATGTCAAATTATCGTCTACTAGTTATACGTAAGAGAAGTGATGGGAATCCGATAGTACCAAATAATCTGGATACAGAACAGTAGCGCCCAAGCAAAGTTATTTTATTTATGTCGAGTCTTTTCTTTGTTTTTCCAATATTTAGTTTCCTAAATTACAAGTTATAGAATTCTTCTAGGCTACATTTATTAGCATTATATAAACAAGTCAAGACTGTGCATTTTGTTATAGGTTACTTTTCAATCAATACAAAAGAGTCAGAGAAAAGTTTCTCTATCTATTTGTGTTCTTACGTATGATACACGTAGTATCCCCGGGTTTTTATTGTGTGCGACAAAACATAACCCAATTTGTCTAAAATATGTAGCTTTCGCTATATCAGTTAGTTGGTATCATAGCCTTCGATGGCCGGAGAAGAAGAAGACTATGTTCGAATCGCAAGGATCGAATAAACCATGCTCACAGTTCAACAATCGCTACAAACAATCACATAAGGTTTAATGTCACACCCCACTAAAGCGGAAACACGAGGCATGGCAGTATAAAGGGTTTCATAGCAAAAGTTAAAAGACAACACCAACCATAGTATTAAAAATCATTACAAATTTACAATGGGTTTGAAAAAATTTTAAAAGAAATTACAATGTAAATTGAAATACAACACATGCGGATGCTCCTAACAGTGATGTGTCCCTAAGTGCCACTTACTCGATGATTCCTGAAAAAGCATGTAAAATAAGCGTCAACTATAAAGATAGCCGGTGAGTACTCACAAGTTTATAACATAATATAGTTTGAAATTCATGATAATCTGAATATTGATAACAGTTTCCATAAACAAATGTTCATTGCTATAATAAGTAAATAAGTTTTCATGAATAAAAGTTCGTTGCTAAAGCGAGTAATAAAGTTTCCATAAATAGAAATATATTGCAAAAATGAGTATTGAGTTTGCATAAACAAAGTTCGTTGTCATCATGAGAGATAAAGTATGTTGCCCAAATGATATGCAACGTTCATATTCTCATGGGAAATAAAGTTTGTTACTAAAATGAGTAAACAGGTTTCATTGCTATCAAGATCTATGCTTATCGTGTTCCATAGATTATATGGTATCATGCACTCCAGCAATCGGGCGAGTGAGGAGTTGTCAATTCCTAATAGCATTATCCATAATGATCATTGGCTCAAAGAGTTAATTGCTGGATAAAAGTGTAAGGGAAGGGACTTAAGACGATAAGGCCTCATGTTTCGTGTTGCATAGACATACATAGAGAGATATAGCAAAATATAACAATCACGTTTGATACAAATCAATTTAAATACAACGAACAATAAATAGTTTTTCAGACATGCTTTTCCACACACAAACATTAAAAATCGAAAATAGGGGAGTGGTGAATACTCACAATATACAAAATATAGCAACCAAGTTTATATGAGTCAAATAAATACAATGAGCATAAATAGTTTAAGACATGCTTTTCCACCCCAAAACATTTAAAAATCGAAAATATGGTAGTGGTGAATACTCACAATATGCAAAATATAGCAATCAAGTTTATATGAGTCAAGTAAATACAATGAGCATAAATAGTTTAGGACATGCTTTTACACCCCAAAACATTTAAAAACCAAAAATAAGGGAGTCGTGAATACTAACAATATGAAAAATATAGCAACCAAGTTTATATGAGTCAAATAAATACAACGAATATAAATAGTTTAGGACATGCTTTCCACCGCAAAACATTTAAAAATCGAAAACAGGGGGTGGTGAATACTCACAATATATATTGCGATGATGCAAATTGTGCCTTGAACTACGGTCCACTCGTACCACTATCGTTTTCCTACAACGATATTACACACTAATGAGTCTCTAATTGAAATCTAATACTAGTATACTTACTACTACAATAGAATTATGGCAATAATGTGTCAAAATTTAATATTGCTAAGTTACAAACATTTTTCTGAAATGGTGAAATTTATAGCTCATGTGATTAAGAAAATTTTGGATATTAATATCCAGATTTTTGTAATATTAATTGAGGGTATTTCAACACATTTAAATGTGTTTTAAGCTCTTAAAAAGTCAAAATATTATTAAACAGTTTTGAAAAATTCTCAAACTTTGCATTTTCATTCTAAACACATTAGAGGTCTTCCATAAAGTTTCCTTTGAATTTTTGATATGATTAACTATTTTTCCAAAATTTTAATAACATTATAAATTCGTGAAAAATAACATCCAAATGATAAAATTACCAAGCTTTTTATGATACTGCCATTAGACATACTTAAGCTGGAAAAAATATAAAAATTGATTTCTAAACCGTTGAACCCAATTTTATGATTTTTGTGCATTTATTCTAATAAAAATTAAAATAAATAGAAAACAGTTTCCAAAATTGCCAAAACCTTTTGTGTTAATGTTATTCAGCATAGCTGAGAAAAATATAAAAATGGATTTCTAAACTATTTAACCCGATTTTATGAATTTTGTTCATTTATTCTAATAAAAATTGAAATAAATAGATAAATGTTTCCAAAGTTGCCCAAACTTTTTGTAGCACTTTTATTATATATGTAGAAGCTGTGAAATATATAAAAGATATTTGTCAATTAGAATTTCTATTTTTCTTTGTTTCATCCTCTTGTATAATTATTAATGGAAGAATAATTATTAACAGTTAAAGTAAATTACCAAAATTTTTTATAAACTTCATTTACAGTGTAAATAATCTGGGAAAAACACCAAAGGTGGTTTTTATCTACTAGAACCCGATTTTGTGGATTTAAGTGTATTTAATCTTAGAAAATAGGAGAAAAATAGTATACTGAATAGAAAAATCATCAAAATTTTTAATTAGAGTTCTAATATATTTTAAGGTCTTCTGATAAATTTTCATGAATTTTGGATGAGTACAAATATTTTTCCCATTACTAGTCCATTATAAATACAAAAATCAGGGGAAAATAGGAATGCATTATGAAAAATTTTGAAAATATTTTTCTGAGTACTCCATATTAGGTAGGATCTGTGAAAAATCGTAT